CATGTTTCATGGATTTGTTAAGGATCACAAAATGTCTTTTTAGCTAGTACAGTGACGGTAATTAAGAACTCGCTGATTCCAGGTTCTCATAGCTCATGGTGACACAATAAGAAATAACAATGAACACTACACTATTACAAATATTTATTATAAATAAGATATAACAAATATAAAGGATAAATATATTATATTGAATTAATAATGATTGAACGAGATGAAATTTTTTGGTACAATAAAATGAAAAGATCAATGTCGTTGGGAATCATTTCTCCCCGAGATCTCGCATTCCGGAATTTCCTGCTCGTCCAGTCAATTACGAAGGTAACACAGTGTAATTCCATCGAAACTAATGTTTTTAATGCAATGCGTTAAATGACGTTAACTTTAGTAAAAATCAAAATTTGGTTCTTCGCTCTAGTCGTTACAGAAATTTAAATTTACCGCCATGTAAGTTTCCTGTGTTACACTAACCGACCGAGCATTCATTTACCCACGAATTTCTACAATACCGACGAGTCCTGCACGCATCAGAAAATGATCAAAATAAATCAAAGATTGAATAAAAGATTTTTATTTTTACATCGTTCTCAGCAATTTCTATATTTAAGAAGTAATTAATTTTATACTTTCAAATCATGCCTCAAATAATTCAATAAAATTTAGACTATTCCGTTTCGCTTGTAAATAATTTTATCGCGTTAAATATACAACTATTGTAACGTTATGTACTAAAAAATTGTATAAAATTAAAATACAACGAATGCGGAACTGGTGAATGCAGAAATAACGTTGCCAGATACAAAAAGATGAGACTCGATTGATCAACGGACGATGCTCAGCCATATGCGGGAAGCAGAGTGAGCTTGAAGTCGTGTCCAGTGTCTCCAGTCGTACCAGAACCACCGACCGGTGCGGACGTTTCTTTTTGTGCGTCGTTCCCTCGCTGTCGTGTCTACGTACGTGCGTACCGCTGTCGGTGAATACTTGTGGCAACCGTGTGGACTGGTTCGTCACCGCCAAAATTCCAGCGTCCAGTGCATTTTTAGCAGATCTGTTTCCGGATCGAACGCGAAAGACGTACGAGGAAGTCTCCTGTGCCCGAGAGAGGATCGGTGGTATACGTGACACGTATTTACGCGAGGAGTCAACGAGACGATCATCGAACGTTCGCCGCCTTTTCACGTAACCGTGCATCGACGGCCGAACATCTTCGGCATATTGAAATCATTTCTCGGCGTGTCGTTCCCGGCATTCTTGAACCGGCGCGATACCGCCTCGGAAACGATTTCCGTCGGTTACGTGGAGTGCACCGAAAGTATCGGATCGGCACGGACGGCGAGGAAGTGAGTAAACACGTTCTTTTCTTTTTCTGGTTCGTTCGACGAACGCTGATAGTGCAAAGTACAAGTTTTCCTCTCGTTCGCCCCTCGCGATTTAGTTGCTCAGTGTGTCGATTGGCTCGGCTAAGTTTTTCACGATTTTTCTGAACGTTTTTCTTGTTTTTCCTTCGGTCGGTCACTTCCACGGTTGGATCGTTATCCAGTCACCAGGATAGGTTAGATTCCGCGCGACGTGAAAGAAACTCGGATTACCGATCTTTGTGTAACATTCTTCATAGGTTTGTAGAATTCATCGAACCGATTTCAGCGGAGGGGTTCTTTCTTTCATCTTTCGGGACAACGATTTATCTAGGAAAATATGCGATTTGATTTTCTCACGAGACTCGCCCCATACTTTATTATATAGGCATCAGCTGACAGACATTCCCAACAGTTCCGGTTGACGCTGTTCGCCGTCAAGTTAATTTCCTTTGCGTTTGAACCATTCGTGTGAACGAAGAGAACGACGCGTTATTATTCCGTGCGAATGATTTGATTAATCGAATCGTTAATATCTGCGCGACGGGTCCCGCGTAAAAGGACTTCTCGCAAGCACCATACCGATCGGTATGTTTTATTTATCCTCCCTCCACCGCTCTTCACCGTAATTACCATACGGGCGACTACAAACGGGAAAACGATGGAAATAGAGTTGGCAAAATAAATATCACGCTGATGCACGTGAAATATCGGTTTTTTTTTAATCCTCGGACAAACATCCAGGCTATATAACCCTTCGGCAAACTTCTTGTGTGCGTAGTCCGTTGACGCTTTCCTTGCAATTTAGCTTTGTTCTTCGATATCGTGATTATAGAAGCTGAACGTTTTTAATGTGACGTTTTATTCTGGTTCAGTCGATGGAAGTATTTGTGGAAGCTTAGAGAGGCAATTTATTATATTTTTCTACCGCCATTATTAGTGAGCGAAGCCTTGCATTTTCATGCAAGCACTGGTTTTCATCTATTCGCTAATGCAAGTTGTCTTTCCGTTAATTCAAAATGCACACTTTCGGTTTATTTGGGTTATATTTTTATCTTAATTATCGCGCCAGGTTCTAAGAGAAGGTTGTTATTGTTGTGAAGATGTGATCTTGTAGCGACATGTTGTAATAACTTCTCAACAGGCGACATATTGCCTTTAGTGTTTATGAATATTTAAGACGTAACCCCACCTTACTCGGGCATTTGCGGAATTACACAGGTCGCAAAGGGGGAAACACAGATTGCTGTCCGTGATATATCGGGTAGGGTGAAACACATTAAAGAATATTCATGTTATTGAAGGAGAAATAAAGATATGTTTAAATTGTTATTAAATGCCCAGGAAAAACAAATTTTTGATTGTACGATACGCGAATATTTATGCAACATGGCCACACAAGGTATCTTTTTAATCAGATGCGGTGGTGGGGCACTTACGCAAGGTAATAAAGGACTTTATAAGTCACTAGGAAAATCAGGATCTTTAATACTTTTAAGGATGTACATATATCCAAGTATTTTTCTAAGATAATTAGATGTTTCTAAGCTAATTAGATATGCTATTAAATTATTAAGTACACTTGAGGTATGTAACCGGTAAAGTATTAAAAATATTAAAAATATGTTAAAAAAATGCTTAGGATGCTCATTTAAGGAAACATTCCAATTATAAAATATATAATACTACTTTACAGACAATTTCTGAAGAAAACGCTATTCGAATCATATTCGTTTAATTAGAGTACCCGTAGTACCAGAACAAGCAGGCATTCATTTACAAGATATAAAAAGAGCTAATGAAAACATCATTAAAAATTTCATAATTTATTATATTCACTGCCACAAATACATTATTAATGATGTCACAAGTAATTATTGTAGAATAACAATCAATAGAAATAAAAATCAATTTAGGAAGCAACTGAATAAAAAGAAAATCATTTTTTTCATTAAAAGATATTTGGATTGGTAAGTAGTATTGTATCCGTGTTTCTTATATGAAACAATGGTAGGCGAAAGGTCAATAAAACATTCTGGAAGCCAAATAAAATGGACTCTTATCGCTGCGCGCGGTAGCAAGGTGCAATATCCGCGACACCCGTCCTTAAACGGTCGACATAGAATAGGTGATAACAGTTTACGCGCATCGCGATCGGTATTTGCATTATGCTTATCGTGCGGAACGCGCGCACGTAACTCCTCCTCGTCGGCCGCGCGCGTTTAACATTCCGTTCGGTGCGCATCCTCCTTTTTTTTCGTTTTCCCGTTTCGAGAGCGAATTTTTTTCAATTAATTATTAGGATGCAGAATGGGCCGAAGGGGAATGAACGTCTGGTGATGTTATCCGCTGCGAGGTGTCTTTGTCGGCTTTAGTTTTATTGCGTTTGCAAATTGCATCGCGTTGCACGTATAGACGGGCGGAGCGCTGCTCTTCGTGTAGGTACGCACACCGGGGGTTAATGACACAACGCGCGGACGCTGAATTGCTTCCGTCTTTTCGTCAAGTTCGATCCGATACATTTGATATCAGTGACGCGCACTATTCACGATGGGATTTAGATCAATGCGTTCTCCGATTAGTTCGTTCGCTTGGAGTCTGCTAGGAAATAATCTATTCATTGCACTTTCTCGATACTTGCTGCGGAAGTTATTACTTCTAGCATGGGTGTAATATTTGTGGCAGTTTTAGAGATTTTCTTAAGTTCTGATTCATTTATTTTAAAAAGAAGTTGTAATATAGAGGCATTAGAAGTTTTTATAGAGTATACAGTGTTTTTAGCTTGCCAGTATACTTTTTTGTATCGATGTTGGACAAATTTATTACTAAGGTAATTGCTTCGATTGTAATAAGCAGATAAAGGTTTTCAATGTTTAATATGTATAATATCTTTCATATGTTCGATTGAAGTCTAATAAGGAAAAATGCTGCGTTCTATTGAGGCTTGTATCCTGGTCACGCGATCGGAAACTTTTATTTCCGACTTTATCGTTGAACAGTAACTTCAGTTAATGGAAATGGTACTATAAAGTTATATACTTAATTTACAGCGCGTGAACTTTATTGTGCGCGATAAGAAAGTTTTAATTGGGAAAATCACAGGACTTTGATAACGAATCTTATTTTACTTCCGATCGTTGCGATGAACATTTAATTCCTTTTTTTCTCTAGATATATGTCTGAATAAGTATAAACGATTGGAGCGTGGTAAGTGTTCTACTAACTGGTGGGGAAATTTATTTATTACAATAAATATTATTTTGAAAATAAGA